CCTTCTTTGGCAGGGGGGGTGGGCTAGATGACCCACAGAGGTCCCTTCCCACCCCTACCATTCTGTGATTCTGTGATTCTGTGAACCACACAGATGGGCGGCTCAGCAAATGAGGCCGGAGAGGGAAAGCTGAAGGAATTGCATTTGGAAATAGAAGCCTGAGTGCAGGCAATGCATCTTCTGACGCATAAACGATTTCTGTAAAAAGGATGATGATCAGCTTTTAGTACCCACTGGGGGAAAATACCTTTATTTGCCTGAAAAAAAAAAATCAAGGTACCTACTGGGGGACAGTTTCTCACTTGGAGGGTAATGAGGCAGTAGCGAAAGAAATGGTAAATCTGCTTCGCTGGAGGATTTGCAGAGCAGCCAAAACAAGGCCTCTCATGGATGGTGTGATTTCTTCCCCCATTCTGTTGCCTTCTGTCCATCCACCCACCACGCAAGGCCTATTTGACTCGTTAACCCATCAAGGTGAACTTTTTATTTCAGTTGCTAGAGGTGCTCTCAGGGGCCAGGGGTCAAAACCAGTAGCAGCGTTGTAGGCTGTTACATGGCTTTGGGATATAAATTCTGCTCTCAGTGCAGTCATGAAAACTTCAAGCACGGACGTAGATCACAAGAAATTGCTTCTGTCCCATGCATTTTTCCTTCCCTGTCTCTGTTTCTTTCTGGAGCTGCTCATTTGGGATGTTATGAGAGCTACAGATGTGAACGTGATGACGTCCCCACACCCCCCTCCCCATCACTGTCATCCTCCCTTTCCTTGTGCTGGACTGTCATTCTTGTTTATTTTCGTTTGAATTATAATTGCAAAAACTGTTACGGTGCTGTTTATTTGCTGTGTGTCATAAGTCACTGTTTATATTTGCTGCTGTTTGCACTGCCTCTCCTCTCCCTCTGTCTTACGCTCGCAGCCGCAGCTCTCCTCCAAGCATCTCGGAGCCTCTGCTCCTCTTTGGAGTCTGCCATGCTCTGCGCTCCTGTGAGGGCAGGGAAAAACGAGCTGACAGTGAAGATCCAGGATTAGGCTTTTTTCCTTCTTTTTTTCCCCTCTTTCTCCTGGCATTTTGCACGGGTCCTTGTTCGAATGAAAAGATTCCTTGGAGGCTCCTTCCCTGAGATCTCTGTGCTTAATTAGTCTCTATCTTATTTCTGCCAGGCAGTGAGATCGATACTGCTTTTTCTGGCTTGCAAATTTTGGGGAAGGGGGGCAAATCATGTCAAAAGGACCTTTTTTGAAGTTACTGAGATCCCCATGCACAGTTCCATCGTCTGCTGTCGTACTAGCGGGTGTTAATCCCTGCATCTGCACTTGTGACTGGGGTGCAGAGTCGAGCACCCTGCACGAGACCATAATGCGGGAAGGATTTTGAGGGGCTTTGCTCTCACCGTCTCAGAACAGCAGGATGTTGCTTTTCTTTGCCGTGCCTCAGTTTTCTGGTGTTTAAAATGGGGATAAAGTCGCAACATCCAGACCCAGCTCCCGCTGCCACAGCTCCAGCCGTCACCCCTGGATGCTGAAGCACTTCCACCATCACTTGCTAGGTTTATTTTTAGTCCAGGATAATGTTTTGCGATGCATCAAAGCTTTGCGTGTCAAGATCCCTAAAGTAGCCAGTCCTAATGCCTTTTTGTATTGGTCTTCTCTGGAGACAGCTGAAGCCCAAGGAGCTTGCAAGTGGTCGGTGTTCCAGCCCGAAGGGAGCAGAAGTTGTTCAGATGCGACACGTCTCTGCCAAATGGCACGCGGCAAGGTGTGAGGGAAGGACTGTGACCTTGGTGGCTGGTGACACGGTGCGTAGGGTGGCCATGGCAGCCGGTGTGCCCCAGGGCTGCCCGAGAGAGGCTGACGTGTGCCTCGGTTTCCCTGCCGAAGGAAAGCGCTCGGTGACTCTGGCAGAGCGCTTTGAGCTCCGTGCGTTGGAAGTGCTGGGTAAGAGCTTGTTCTCAGCTGGAAAACCCCACTGACTCTTCATGGGTTCCTCTTCGTTCTCTAGGCTAAAATGAGAACAAAACTCTTCCTCCCAAGCAGTTTTAGGGAGGCTAAATGATCTCAAAAGGTTTGCTTTGAAGCTTACAGGCTTGGTGTCTGCTGCTCACACCACCAGCACAATTTCTGTCTGAGAAATTTGCTCTGGGTTGCAGCATCTGACCGCAAGGCCACGGTGTGGCCCCAGTTGCGAGGAGCTGCTGGTCTATCAGGAATGGGAGCCAAGCGAACTGGCCCCTGGGAGGGGCAGTGGGTGCTCTGGGTGGATGGGAGGGGGGGTTCTCCCAGCCTCCTGGCCTTGGGCAATCCCTTGTGCCTCCTTTTCTTGCTCCTGGTAAAGCGCTGTCACTGCTAGCCAAGAGAATCGTACAGCTCCTTGTCTTTGCAGTCTGAAAGGTAACGTCTTGTGAGTCACTCTGTGTATTTATCAAGGAGAAACAGGCAATTTATTTGTGTCAGATTAATAGAGCTTTGGCTTACAGGGAGTGGCAGAATTAATTAAAGACAGGTCCCAAGTCTGTCTCGGGTTGTCCACCAGCTCAGCAAATGTTTGATTGTGAATCCACTGTAAAATAGCTCCAAGTTTCTTGTGCCTCTGTTACCAGTCTTGGTAGAGAGCAGCCAGGTTTTCATGTGTCAAATGTC